GCCTTGCACACAGCCAACATGGCCAACCTGAGTTCAATTCCTCTGCCCCTCTCGGAGAGCCGGGCAAGCTACCAAGAGTATCTCACCCGCACGGCAATGCCTGGCAAGCTCCCCATGGAGTATTGGATATGCCAAACACAGTAACAACAAAGTCTCACAATGGAGACATTACTGGGCCCGCTCGAGAAAATTGATGAACAACGGGAGGACAGTGACAGTGATAATGACAGTGACTCTGTGGGTAAGAAATTTGAGTAAGTTTTGACTGAGTTATTCTTTTATTCCATGTTATCTATAAGAGCTCCCGGAAGAGAACAGCACAGAGTCTCCTGCCCCCGCGTCTGGCTGTCCTCTCCAGGGCCCCTGGTGGGGAGCGGGTTGAGTTTTCCTCCCCGCCCCGACCAGGGCTCCGGCAGCCGAAGACCTCCAGAACCAGCCACCACCATGCTGAGACCACTCTCCGCATACATGAAGGTACCGGCAGAGGAACAAAGCCACGCGGGTCCCAGGGCCGAGATCTCAAAGCCTACTCGGATCGGAGCTGAGCATCCTCCACCCAGATCCTCCAAATTCCAGTAGGTGGGGGTCACACCCACCAACTGGCCCCCTGGTGCCATGAAATCCCATCAACGGCCAAGACTCAGAGACTATAAAACCCAGCTCCCGGAAACGCGCAGCCGCAAATGCGGCCGGGCAACATCTTATTATCTCATTCCTACTTTGAACAAACTGTCAGGCTACCAAATGTAACCTGCCCACACGGCAGAGTCTGGCAAACTCCCCATGGCGTACCCAATATGCCAAATACCAGTAACAATGAAGGGTCTCATTCTCCTAACACTGAAAGAGCCTTGAATATGGCACTTTTCTAAAAAAATCTCAGGGCTAGGACAAAGGAGACATTACTGGGGCCTGCTCGAGGCAATCGACGAATAACAGGATGGTTGTGATTGTGATCTATAAAAGGTTACTTGGTAACATTTAGCTGCAAGATGTTTTTGAAGATCTAATAGTCAGTTCTACTCAGTTATTTGTAGCTTTTACAGAAATTCTTGGAAGGTTGAATTCAACTACAACCATCAACTTGATTGTCCCCCTGTGGCAACTCCAACACTATCATCAGAGGGGTGTCTGGACTTATTTCTTTCTGAAAGCTCAGACCAGGGGTAACTATTCCACAGATAAGGAGAGACTGCATGGTCTTGACACTGGACCTCAGAAGTCAAACCAAACAATTTTCTTTGGCAGTCAAAAACCCATAGAGATTCAACGCCCTGTTTGACAGCCACTTTTCTTTAAATCCATGTTCTTATCCCCCCACTTTAAGCATCCTGAAACAGCGGGAGATTTCTTTCTGCTAAGTGCTGTCAAATGACAGGAGGGAGTGCATTTCTCAGATCTATAATGAGGGAGACACACTGGTGTAAACAGCTTTCTTTTCTACCCATTTGTAGCAGGTTCTTGCTTGGGGCTGCACCATTCCAGATACCATACATTTATCTGCCCGGTCTCAAATGTAATCAACCTGTCTGGAGACCACATCATAAGTTCCCCATCACTAACAGCACCTCAGTTTCTTCCCTTGCAGGGCTCCTGTCCACACCTGTCGCTGGCTTCTAGATCTGTTCTCCCTTTGAAGAATTCCAACCTGCAGTAGCCTCATGGTCAAAGCCAGACTCACTGATTTTGCATTTAACAATTTTCAATCTTCCTTTTTTGTGTTATTCTTGTTGTTGTTGAGATGATCCAAATCCAGGACTGGGGTAGGTACTTCCTCAGTACTCTATGACTCTATGAGCAACTGAGAGCGGCCTCTTTGTAAACTGTCTTGGTGTTGTTACGAGAGTGCACTCACCATTTAAAATATTCAAAATCAATAAGACAGTTGGGGAAGGGAGTTAGAGTGCTATGAATGTGAAATAGATAAATCTTTCCAAAACGGAAAGGTCATAGATAATGCCAGAAGATAAAGATGAAGGGAAAACTGGGAAGCCACAGAGGTAACCACTGAAGAACTAACAACAGATACCTCAGTGTGGGTTCCTTGGAGAGATGGGAGACTAGCTCTCCTCACACAAAGCACAATTTAACACTTCACATTATATTTGCATTTTCTGATTTAAAAAATATTAATATACATTTGGATATCAAACATATTGCACGGGGGCCAGGGAGAAGGCTCACAGTGACTGGAGCACGTGTTCTACATTGGGCTCAACTCCCAGCACTTCATGGCAGGCACCCTGCCCCACCCAGTACACCAAGCTTTGAGCAGCACTCAAGCACCGTTGGATGCAGTCCCCAATTCACACTAGCCTGTTTCAGAATGAGGCATGCCCTCTAAAGCTCTGATGAGAGGATAAGGTCTATAGTTGTATTTTTTTTTTATTTGGGGAGGGGGTGTGGGCACACCTGGCATACTCAGGGCTTATTCTATGGCCAGGGATCACTCCTGGCAGAGTTTGGGGGACATCTGCAATAACAGGGATCAAATCAGATCTGGCAGTGTGCAAGGAAAGTGCCTACTTCCCTGTATTATCTTTCTGCCCCCTTCCTCCGTATTTGTATTTTATAATAGGTTTGGGTTTCAGTTTAATCTTCACCACTTAAAAATTAAAAGTCAAGAAATTGGGTTCAAACAATTTCAGAGTTGAGGAAGAAGTGGAAAAATAAGCTCTTCTGGAGACTCCGGCCACTCTGTACCTTTTGATTTTATGTCCTGGAAAAATTAAATTGGAACTCCCTTTGCCACTTCTTCATTTCATTTTCTTGTAGAAAGGGCAAGAGCTTAATGTGCCACAGACTAAAGCTGTGGTGGCAGCTGGACACACATGGGCAGACACCCGAGTCTCTAGACAGCTGGCTGGGTCCTCCAGTCACATTTTCCAAAGTTTGTGGGAACAAGCAGCAGCTGGAATTCAGCAGGGCAGGTGAGGCGGGGGTGGGGCACACGTACTGTACTCTCTTCTGGTTTCACAGTTGACTTTATTTTTGGGCTCTTTCTATTTTCTCTCCAATATTTCTTTTTTCTCTTAATAATTATTTTTTATTTTTTACGATTAAATTAAAAATATTAAGGCACCGTGATTTACAGAGTTATGTATAGCTCGGTTTCAGGTGTACAATGTTCCAAAACCAACTCCACCACCATTGTCAACTTTTCTCCCAAGTTCTCACCCACCCTCCCTGCTGCCTCCTCAACAGGTGTGTATTTTACAACTGGGTCTCATGCTTACAGTATTGCTGGCCCTGCAGTTTAGACAAAACATACCCCACACCTCTGCACCACTGACGTGCCGATGCCCTAGATCTTACACGTTCATGATCACGATCACGATGATCCTGTTGTCTGTCGATTGCCTCAAGCAGGCACCAGTAATGTCTCCTTCTTCCTAGCCCTGAGATTTTAAAAGAGCCATATTCAGTGCTCTTTCAGGGCTAGGAGAATGAGACCTAACATTGTTACTGGCATTTGGCATATTGAGTACGACATGGGAAGTTTGCCAGACTCTGCCGTCTTACACGTTACCCCTATTCATCTTTTCTTGCTCACCCCAACCTCACCCTATTGCTTTCTTTCAGTGTCCTCTTTTCTGTCGTCTCAAAGGTCAAGGGTAATCTGGGTATCCTCCCTGGGGTACTCTGCATTCCCTCCTTTCCTTAATTCACATTTTGAAAAAGAAAGGCTTCATTTTAGAATGGAGATATTTTTCAGTTTGTTTTTAATCCTTTAACCAGAACAAAGTACTGCTTACTCTTGGCAAATTGGTCTTCTTAAAAAAAAAGGAAGCCTAGATACCCCAAGTGTGGTCCTTGAACTAGCAGTAGCCTCACCGAAGGGCTTGCTGGCACTGTAGTACCTCAGCATCACCCTCGCCCACCATGAAGTTACAATCAGAATCTGGATTGTAAAATGGGAGGTACGTGTGTATGCACACTACGGTTTGGGGAGTGCTGCTCTGCTACAGATCGATCAGAGGTCTTGGGGAGGAGAAAGTTCAAGCCTGGGTTTCTGGACCTCACGTTAGGTCATCAGAAATATTCATGGTTGGGCGAGGCCGAGGCCTAGGGTACCCCAGAAGTGTCCCAGGGGAGGCCACTGTGAAGCCACGTGAAGAACATTAGATGAGGGATGTCTGCGGTTGCTCAGCTGTCTGGGCCTCCTGCTTGCTGCCTCCTCCCAGGTCATTGGGGTACAATTAGCATATGCACGCTACATGGGCAAATTCACAGCCATAAAACAGCCAGGGCTGAAAGTGGATTATTCCATACTCATCCGGAGAAAACTCCCCAGGGGGAAGCTTACCCAGTCCCTGGGAGAAAATATAATTCAAACACACAATCTTTGATTTACAAAGTCAATCTCTTTTCGTTTCAGAGATACCTTACTTTTATGGGCCACAGGAATGCTGATGTTTATTGCCAAAGAGGAATATTAAGATGGGTCACCTTTAATGTCAAAGCACTTTCACTATACCCCACCATGTTCTCATGAAACATGGCTTGAGAACGTAATCAAAATAAAAAGCAGGACCAGTGAGCAATCAACCAGTCACATTTTCTAGTTTTATAACCGAAAGACAAAATAAAGGGAGGGTTGACAGGAGGTTTGCAGGTTTGAAATACTTTTGCAGTTTTACATCAGTCTCTCATCACTGCCAAATGTTTGTCTCTTAAGGCATAAATCAGTTCCTCACAGACGCATGCTGAGTAGTGTCTGGATTCTGTTCTGGAAGCATTTGCCTTTTGGACAATAGCTTAAAGAATTACATGTCTCCAATTTGCTGCGACTTTTCTTTTCGAGCAGAATGTTTTTCTTGGAGTAGGTTTCCAAGAAAGGGTTCTGACACCATTCTGGTCACATGTGTGGTCTCGCAGGGCACACTTAGGAATAGCAAGTGACAGCTGTCAAGGGAAGGAGGCCTGCTCTCCACCCCCCGACTCAGTGCTCTAATTAACACAGTGACCATTCGTCACTGACACCCTGCACGTGGCCTCACCTGGTATTGCTGCCCAGTGCAGAGGATGAGGTGGTCGTACAGCACAATTTCATCTTTGGAAACCACCACATGCTTGGCTACTCGATCTATGGCAGTCATTCGACCAACTACCACATTCACCCAGGAACACAACAACATCAGTGAGTGATCTTTATCATTAAAACAGTGGCTGTGGAGAGAGGAGCTCCATCAGTGACATTTGAGCAGCTGACAGCGGGCATTAATTAGACATCTGGTGAGCTGGTTCAAGTCCCCTGGCAGGCCCAGTCTGTGCTCATGCTGGGAGTATATCAGGACCAAGGCGAGAGAGTTGGTGATTTTTTGTTATGAGACACTTAGTCACAAATTGACATCTTCCCATTAAAGCTAAATTGTTCCACCCTGCATAAGCCAGTCCACAAGGAGAGAGATAGAGACAGACAGAGAGACAGAGAGAAGATAGAGAATGTGATTGTGTGTGAGTGTTCCTATTGCAGGAGTTGTAATTTATTTGGTTTTAATTGAACTTTAGCAGTTTTATGGTCATATTGGCCACAGACTCCAAGGGTCTGAAGAAGAAAGAAACACTGCTAAGGATTTCTAAGTGTGAGGGTTAAGTAAGGTCCTCAAAATCAAGCACCAGTTAGTTTTCTAGCACTTTGCAGTAAATGACTCATTCCTGGAATTTGTGTATATGAGTGCATGCCAAAACATTGAAGTGTGTCACATTAGGGAATTATATTTTCAGTAGGTACAATCCCTGGAGATATTTAGGGTTTTCTCCTCGAGGCAAGGTGATTTATGGGACCAGAGGGTCTGAGGTTGGATGTGAAATCTAGACTCGGGTGGCATTATGATTTGGGGGTTTCTGTTTGTAATTTTGTGAGTCACACTCCCACTGTGCTCACAGCTTGCCTCTGGCTTTGTGTCCCGGGATAACCTCTGGTGTACTTGGGAGACAGAACCCAGGTTGGCTGTGCAAAAGGCAAGCACCTTATTCCACGTGCTGTGTTTTGGGCTACAGGCTTGTTTTCCCCCCTTCTCTGGATTCTATATGAGTTTAAAGATCCTACTGTAATGTGAGAAAGGTGGGTTTCCTGAGGCTTGGAGGCTAAAAGGTTTGTGAGAGTTATTTCCATAATGCTCAGAAAGATGTGACTTCATGTACAAGGCATTCTAAGGCCATGTTCCGAAGCCTGAAAGCGTGGGGTCGCAGGCTAGTGAGTATTTTGTTTTAAGCTAGGGTGCACCACACCATGGTCAGAGCTGCTCTTCTGACACTGAGGAGACTGGGTCTTTGGGATTCGGTCTGTCTCCTGATACTTCCGCTTTGTCACCCCTCGGGGGATGGTCCCCACTCCCACTAGCCTCAGCCTTTGTAAGGGTGCCTGTGAGAATAGATGCTACTTTGTCAAGCGGGATGCATATGTGACAGGAATTATTCTAAATAATATTAATGATACATAATCCTGTTTACTCTCCATGGCGGCAAACAGGATTCTGAAGTGGTAATGGAAGAACATTTTTTCCTTTTTGATCCACACAGGAGTCTGCTTTTACTGCACAAAAAGAATTCGAGTAATGGATGCACATTAGCCCCGTTACCAGGCCCTAGAGAGAAGGGAGCTCGGGGCTTTGTATTTATCCTCTAAACAACACTTAAAAACAAGAAAATTTCTTCTTAATAAGAAACGAAATCAGGGGCTGATCTAGCAAAGGGAAATGATAGCTAGTGAGATGAAATTCTCTTTTTTAAAAAGACCATTTGGGTAGCTTTACAGGAAAACAGAAAACGTCACCAGTTTTGTCCCTGCCTAAGAGATTCACAAAGGATTGTCTTATTTGTTATGCGGCTTCCTCGTAATAGAAGGGTACTGTCAAGGCCTCCAAAATGAGGAAAATTAAATACAGTTAGTGCACAGGGATTAGTCTTTGGAGGATTTGCTCAAAGGTGAAAGTGCTCAGGGGAAATTTGTGGAAGGCTAAGACAATGTTATTTTTAATGACAGTGGTGTTGATAATGTCAGAATGCATATTTCATAGTTGTGATTTGGAGCAGTGTCAGTGGGAGGTGCACTTGGGAACACCAGAGCCCGTTTTATTTTATTTACCCACCCTCGGGAGATATTGTTGAGTGGGGTTCTTGCTTTTACCATTTTACTACATTGAAAATATATTATTCAGTTTAAAATATTGTGGATATTCTGAGCAATATATTACAAAATATTCTGGACCTTCCTCAATTTATCTAAATAGTAGGTAAAATTTGTCACTGGAGACTATGAGTGATATCTTTTTGTAGTTATTTCCTAACAAAAATATCTCAAAATATAGGAATAGTTTGGATCAGAGTAATAGTACAGAGGGTATGGCACTTGCCTTGCACATGGCTGGCTAGAACTTGATCCTTTGCACCATACTTGCTCCAAGCTCTGCCAGGACTAATCCCTGAATGTAGAGCCAAGAGTAAGCCCTGAGAACTGTCAGGTGAGGCCCCAAAACACGTGAACAAAAATACTAGGAATGGAACTCTGATATGATCCTGTGATATCACTTTTGTGCATCTATTCTCAAAACATAAAAACATTGATTTGAAAATACATAGATGCACACCTATGTTCATTGTTGCACTTGGTACAATAGATGAGATAGAGAGTCACTGTCACTGTCCTCCCATTGTTCACTGATTTTGCTCGAGCGGGCCCAGTAACATTGTGAGACTTATTACTGTGTTTGGCATATCTAATACGTCACGGGGAGCTTGCCAGGCTTTGCCATGCAGGCGAGGTACTCTCAGTAGCTTGCCAGGCTCTCCGAGAGGGGCGGAGGAATTGAACCCGGGTCGGCCATATTGGCTGCATACAAGGCAAATGCCCTACCCGCTGTGCTATTGCTCCAGCAAACAACCCAAATTCCCAACTACAGATGACTGGATCAAGACATTGTGATATATATATATATATATATATATATATATATATATATATATATATCCAGTGAAACACAATGTGGTTCTAAGAAAGAACAAAATCATGCTATTCACCACATGGAGGGAACTAGCAGGCCTCATGCTGAGTGAGATAAGTCATAAGGAAAAGGGCAGATAGATAGTGATCTCTCTCAAATGTGGGACTTAGAGATACACAGCAAGACAGCAACAAAGGACCAACGGCAACACAGTGTGAGAACTGAGCTGGAGGGAAGGCTAAAATGGAAGGACACTGGGGTCTGCGGGGGGAAAGTGTGGACACTGGTGGTGGGCACGTGTCGGAGTGATGTACATGGGAACCATCATTAAAAGCATTATGAATCAAAACACCTCAATCAATTAAAAAATGTTTTTAAAAAGTATTTCTTGAGCAGAGCAGTAAGCCTGGTGAGGACTAACTCTAGGGGTCTGAGAAATACCTGTGCTGGGATTCTCTGGGAAAGAAGGTAGAGAAGAAGCATCAGCAAAACTTCCTATTTCTCAGGTGAGCTAGACCCAGACTTGGTCAGAATATGAAAGGGTGTCTTTATAGAACATTCTGGAGATAGGTTTAAAACAGGTAGGAAAACAGTAGAAAAGCAGGATGAGAAAATTTTCTAGAAGTGAACATATAAGAGGAGTGGCTTGCTTGCTCAGTCTTGCAGTGCTTGTAAACCTAGTGGACAAACGTCTTACCCTGAAGCTCCAGAAGCATAATTAGAAGTCAACTTCAGGGAAGCAAAGGTAAACAAGATATAAGCTGTTCTAAACGAAGACAGAATTGGAAATAACTTCAGCAGTTTCTGTATTTGGTCTATTGTGATACTCTTAGAAGGAGAATTATAATTAACTTTCAGTTATTCAGAGCTGATCATCCAGTTATTGAACTTCTTTTGCTTCTTTTTTTTCAACCCTCCCAAACTCCCCTTCTGTGTGTCCAGACGGGCATGCCATTGGCATTTCCTCCAGACTCAGGACTGGGGAGTGAGGGGATGATGAAACCTGGCATTCAGAATTTGTTCTTATAAGAGTCATTAAAATTATTACATATATGGAGATGAGGAACTGTAGAAACAGTACAGGGGTTAGGACATTTGCCTGGCTGAGCTGGGTTTGATATCTGGCACTATATGAATACTTTGAGCACTGAATCAGGAGTTAATCCCCAAACACCGACATGTGTGATCTCAAATCTGTGTATATATGTGTGTCTATATATGTATGTATATGTATGTACATATATACTGTAGCACTGTCCTCCCCTTGTTCATCAATTTGCTCGAGTGGGCACCAGTAACGTCTCCATAGTGGGACTTGTTACTGTTTTTAGCATATCGAATACTTCACGGGGAGCTTGCCAGGCTCTGCTGTGTGGGCAGGACACCCTCAGTAGCTTGCCGGGCTCTCCGAGAGGGCAGAGGAATAGAACCCGGGTTGGCTGTATGCAAGGCAAATGCCCTACACGTTGTGTTACAGCAGGTAGGGAGTGCTATGCACATATATACATATATACAGTATATATATATAGAGAGAAATAGAGATAGAGAGAGACAGAGACAGAGAGACAGAGAGAAGTACTCAAAGTAATTGCCTTTAGGGAGGAGGTGGGTTTGAGTCACGCCTAGCAGTGATCAGGGCTTATTCAACCAGGGGTGACTATAGGAAAGCAAGCAGTTTAACTCCTATTCTCTCACTCAGCTCCAAAGGCCTTGTCATTTTTAAACTCCATGACCAAATATAATTTCCTTTATTGGAGCATGACAGCATTAGAAAGCAGGTTTCTGTTTACATTTCAGTTTGTGGTCTCTGTAGTTACAGTGTGCAGCAGCAAATCCCAAGGGGTCTGAGTGTGCTATTAGCCCGTCTGGATGCTGATTGAAAGGACTTTAGCAGATCTTTTGGCGGTAAGCTCAATTCATTATTCATTGAGCACCTGCTATATGCCATACACTGTACTAGTTGCTGGGGTTACATCAATGAACCAAAGACAAATCATTCCAGTTTTGTGGAGTTTACATTATATTGAAAGGATTCTAGACAACAAGGAAAGAAGTCAAGGTGGGAAGGAAGGGAAAGGGAAGCAATGGGTGACCAGGGGTAGGGCTTCAATTATACTGATGGTGTGGGAGAGTGGTACCATGTATCCAAAACACGGATGCAGCAAAACTGAAAACATGACATCTAAGCTGCAACTTTGTTATGTACCTATCGAGGGGACAGGAAGGGCGGACGGGGAGATGAGAATGGGGACGGAATATGGGGACTCTGGTAGGGGGAAGCTGCACTGGTGGTGGGGCCGTTGTTGAAATAGCATGTGCCTAAAACTCAACTTGATTTATCAATTATGGTTCTTTAATCAAATACAAATTATATTTAAAAAGAATAAACATAATGGAACACACTCAGATGTAAGAAAAATGAAATTATGAAATTTGCTGCTACGTGGATGGGATGGAGAGCATCATGCTGCGGTGAAGTTGTTCAGGAGAAAGTGAGACACAGCCTGGTCTTTTTCACATGCTAGACATAGAAAATCACTGTAGGGGAACAGGGAGTGCCCAAAGGCAACAGCAACTGAGAACTTGTCTTCTGTAGGAAGTTTACCATGGAAGGAGTGGAGTAGGGGAGCAACGCTGGGACCGTGGTGGAAGGAAGCAGACACGGAGGTGGAGGCGATAGCGCTGGGGTATTTCACATATGAAACCCTACTAATAACAGCTTGTAAACCACAGTGCCAAACATAAAATAAAATTTAAGATAAATTTAAATCCTTAGAAGAATTATCATAGAAAAAAAATAGGGCAGTAAAGAGGTTTGTGGTGTGTTAAAAATGTAGGTTGCAAATAAATAAAAGGTCAGGTTAGATCTCTTTGAAAAGCTGGCATTTCAATAAAGATGTGGGGGGGGGGAGTCAAAAACTGCCTATTGTGTTTCAGAATCATCAAGGAGGCTGTTATGGTTAGAAAGGAAAGAACAAGTCAAAAAAGAAGAGATGAGGTGAGAGCAGCAAGCAGAGAGGATAAAATTTTAGGTTGGAACATTCCAGAACCTTCTATGATAGAAATGTTTTGTAACTATACTGTCTGATATGACAGCTACTAGCCACATGTGGATATTGGAGCACTTGAAATGTGGCTAATGTGATTGAAACGCTGAGTCTTTAATCTCATTTAATTTTTATCAATTTAAATTTAAGTAGCCACATGTGGCTACTAGCCATGGCATTAGATGGTGCTGTTACGGAATTGATGTCATCTGATTCACATCTGCAGCACTGTTCTGTGTTGAGAATGAAGAAAGCCAGAATAGAAGCAGCATCACCAGACAACTGTCCCCACCATGAAGAGTCTATGCAGCATTGCACCAGCGGGTCATTTGCAACCATTCTTTACTATTAACATGGGGGTTGATAGAAACCATCATCAACTAAACTAAATCCCATTTATCAAAAACACAAACATTTCCTGGGAATGCTGTCATTTAGAATGAGGGATAGGGGAGAAAAGGGATATACAAGTGTTGATTCTTTACTCTGTCAGAATTTGGTTCCATGGTTTATCATACACATTTTCTGTCAAAAAACCTGAAACTCTAACAAGTGAAATCCCACTTTGGAAAAAAGTCAGGATCTTTATCTGCAACCCATGCCCAGTTTATTTTATTTTTATTTTTTGGTTTTTGAGCCACATCCAGTGGTGCCCAGGAGTTACTCCTGGCTCAGCACTCAGGAATTATTCCTGGTGGTGTTCTGGGGACCATATGAGATGCTGGAGATTGAATCCAGGTTGGTTGCACATAAGTAAGTACCACACCCGCACTGTTATTGCTCTTTCTCTTCCATATCCTCTTTTCAATGTATCCCAATTATGTCATTTTTAAAAAATCCCAATTGTAGTGTGATGAAAGTATTAGGTTGAAACAAGCCTAGTTTTAGTTCTATAACCAAAAACTCTATGACTTTTCTTATGGTTTGAAGGTAAAATAAATTTTGTGGGGTTTTTATTCCCCACACAGGAAAAAAAAGGTACTTTCCTGGATACTAAAGTTAGAAATCTAAAATTGTTCCCACCCCTGGAGAGAACAATTTCCTTCCTCTGATTAGAAATATTGGGACATCATTTCTAGAGGCAGGGCTCCTAATCATTCTTGTACCCATGTTTTGCTACAGGAAATTAAAATTAATGGAAGCTGTGTGATAATGAAATGGTACTTTTAAGAACGGATGTTGTCAAGCAGTAAATCCACTTGGACGGAAACCATAATACCTAACTAACCTGGCACAAAAGGTCTCTTATGATCATTTCTGATCACAAATAAATAGGGATATAGTCGTGGCCCAGCAAAACCTGCTTTTATTGCCCAATTCGAAACCTTGAGGGAATGCCAAGTTCCATACAAATATAGTCCTACTTGTCACTCAGCATCTGAATGCAGGTGCTGGGTGGGCCAGGGAGTTCATCTCAGTGTTCTGGAACAGACAATGTATTCCCATCAATATCAATGGCAACCCAATCCTGCTCCTCACTTGTTTACATAGTTGTAATTCTATCACCTAAATCATTTCTAAACAATCTCCAGGAGAAAAGTCTACCCCTAGTTCCTCTCCAACAGGAAACCCACATTTTTTAAATGCATAAAATGCATGTACACAAACTAGGACACTTAGCCCCCAGAAGGAAAAAACAATTACTCATACTCGGTTGATAAAAACTTCCTTTCTTCAGACTCCAGAAGTTTTTTTCCTGGAAGTCCATGGGTTGAAATCAGCGTGAGATTGCTAAACTTCAGGTGAGAGCTGGAAAACACAAAACACACAAAAGAGGAATGGCATGGTTCATGAAAGTTGGCCATTATCATTTGTCATCCAACTGTGAACTTTGCTTCGAGCCAGCCACTCTTGCTGCAGAAACCTTCAACTGGAATAAACCAGGTTGGTTGGAGGAGGTTGATGCTGGAGCAGTGAATTGCAAAAGCTGCCCAGGGCTGCACTATTATAATTAGAGATGCCATTTAAGTTTTTAAAAGAATTTATTCCTGGGGCCACAGAGATAGTACAGCCTTGCACACTGCTGACCTGGGTCCGGTCCCTGGCATCCCATATGGTACCCAAAGCACCGCCAGGAGTAATTCCTGAGTGCAAAGCCAGGAGTAACCCCTGAGCATCACTGGGTGTGGCCCAAAAAGAAAAAAAAGTTAAAAGAATTTATTCTTAAAGTCCAAAAATTGCGGAGGGGAGAGGGATATTCATTTAATAGAAATGAATGCCAAGTTTGAATGCCAGGTGACTTGTAAGCAACTGCTTGAAATCATAGGCATACATGCTCATGCTTACAATCATGCCTGTCTCCCATTCTGTCTGAAGCTTTTTGTCCTAAGGGTGGTAGTTATGTCCCCATGTGGCTTTGCTCAAGGCTTTCTCCTGGCTCTGTGCTCAGGGATCGATCACTCCTGGCACCACATGGATAACATAGCGGGTGCTGGGAATTGAACTCCAGTTGGCCGCGTGCAAGACAAGCATCCTATCTACTGTACTACCTCTCATAGAGATTGAGCAGGGGTGGGGACAGGTTATTTTTACTACCCTCATTTCATCCAGAAGGAAATCAAAGGTTGGCCATGGCAAGGTCATTTGTTTATCACAAAGCTCAGAAGCAGCGTGGGCAGAAATGAAAGCCACGTCTTCCCCCTGTAGCGGCCCCTCCAGCTCTGTGGTCGCTCTCTCACTGGTTCTGTGAACATTAAGTAGCAGGCTCTGCACAGGCAAGTGGATGCTCGTGAAGAACTTCCATGCTTCATATTTACTCCCTTGTTTTACCTGAAGTGCTTAGAATACTCCTACTGCAAGTTTGCCTTCCAGTTAAAGTCAGCACATTTAATGGGTGAGCTGATCTTTTCATATCATATGCTTCAGGATTATGAAAAAGATATTTTCCCCAAATCTATTCTTTGTTCACATTTCCCATTAAAGCAACCAAATGTGAGATACAGACAGAAAGAGAGAGAGAGAGAGAGAGAGAGAGAGAGAGAGAGAGAGAGAGAGAGAAAGTCCTTACTGATTTAGAGGAAAACACCTGCCCTCCTTTCCCAGGAGGAAATTGGAAATTTTCCAAATGTGGAAAAGCTATCAATTTACTGATAATCTGTTAAGAACCACTGAAAACAGCAGCCTTTTGGTGACAGCACAGGCCTGCAATGCAATAAACTCAACTGCACCTGACATTTATAAATAGCTAAATATTAGGAAAGGTTTTACCCTAAAGTCTCTATGGATGTATGTCATTTAGGAATGAATATTCTTTTTTTTAATACAAAGAAAACCACGCATATCTCTCCCTCTAATAAGAATAAAAATCTTGACCATGTTCAAATAACATAAAGGTCACAATTAACCCCATTTATTTATGACTGACTGTAAATGCACTTCAATGACAGGCCTTTATTCCTATTTAACAAAGCACACAATAAAAATACATGTTTATACTCACATGCACTTAAAATTTATTTTGGCTTTGGAGCCCGTGTGATCAAAATGTGGTTCATTTTACACAAATAATACAAATGCTTATAGACCTTTTTTACATCTCTGAATAAAAGACTCAGTAATTATTCAACAAGATCTTTTTCTACAAAAACAATCCCTTAAACACAATCTGTTAGCAATTCCTTAAAATTATTTAGCAACATATATCTAATGACTGGTAAATTGCCAAATTATTACACTGTATTGTCCTGAATTACATTACTAACATTAAAGATTTCCTCAAAATATTAGGTGAGTATTTGCATATATAAAGGAGTGAACCAGATTTCTATTCCATTTCTTTGGCCTTGGCAAAAGACTTGGGCATTATTCACTGTGGCTCATTTTATCCCTACATCTGATTTACTACTTTAACCTTCTTTGCATCCCGCGCATTCTTTCCTTCTTTCTCACGTGAATAGATCTTCCACATAAAGAAAATAGAACCCAATCACCCAGAAACCTTCCTTTCCTTTCCCTTTTGCCACCTCCAAATACACCTGTAATAGTGTTCATTTCTCTTCATTTCACCCTGATTCAGAAGACAGATGTGTTTCTCCATTAGCTGTTTTATTTTGTGTGACAAGGTCCTCTTCTACCCCTCCCTACTCACAGCAATTTTTTTCCCTTCATTTTATTTTATTTTTTTTTTACAGTTGTAGATTTACAATTTTTTGTGCTTTGGTTTCAATTATACAACAGCAATTTTTTTTAGATGCCTTGCACTCAGCCAACATGGCCAACCCGAGTTCGATTCCTCCGCCCCTCTCGGAGAGCCCGGCAAGCTACCGAGAGTATCTCGCCCGCACGGCAGAGCCTGGCAAGCTCCCCGTGACGTATTCAATATGCCAAACACAGTAACAACAAAGTCTCCAATGGAGACGTTACTGGGCCCGCTCGAGCAAATCGATGATCAACGGGAGGACCTTTACTTTATTTCATTTGAGAAACCTAGACGTAACCATTCTAGTGCTGATATAGTGAATCTATAAAGTTAACAGGGATTATGACCTGATGACCCCCCATCTCTTTTTCAGAGAGTCAGTCATCACAGCTCACATTCACATCACAAGGAAAAAGAAGAATGGGAAGAACAGATGCTAATTCAGAACTCATCTAGAAAGAGTTCCATAACATCACTGATTACCTGGCCAGAACTCAGTGACATGACCATATATAGCTGGAAATCAAAGAAGCTGGAAAGATATGTTTTTCTGAGAATCATGTTTGCTAGAGTTCTGTTAGTAAGGAAAGAGGAGCAGAATGAATGCAGAGGGACGATTAGAAGTCTCTACATTAGAAGTCTCTACTCTTCGATTGAAGCATGAAGGAACCAACAGAGGAGGCCAGGTGCGTGGGTCCCGGGGCTGAGATCTCCAAGGCTGCTCTGATCGAGACTGGGCCTCCTCCACTCAGATACCCCATTTTCCAGTAGCTAGGCAGTCACACCCACAAATTGCCCCCGGCGCCATGTAATCCCATCAATGGCCAAGATCCAGAAAACAAAGCTCCCAGAAGCTTGCAGCCGCATATCTTATAGTCTAGTTCTCCTCAGAGAACCCAGCAAGCTACCAAGAGAATCCTCCCTGCATGGCAGAGCCTGGCAAGCTCCTGTGGCATATTTGATATGCCAAAAACAGTAACAGTGATGTGCCTCATTCTCCTGACCCTGAAAGAGCCTCCAATGCAGCACTGTTGGGAAGGACGAATAAGGACAAGCTGTTAAAATCTCAGGGCTAGGATGAATGCAGATGTTACAGGTGCCTGCTCAAGCAAATCAGTGAATAATGGGATGACAGTAAAACAGTGATACTCTTCGATTGGGAAGATGGTGAGGAGAGGGAAAGGGCCTCACAGCCATCAAGGTTCATGCATGCTCTGGACTAAACGCAGAGGCAGGGGTGGGGTGCCAGCAGGCAGGATAAAATGGAGCATTCTCTAGTGACTAACAAAGACATGGGAGTGCCATCACAGACTTGAGCACATCATTTGATGGCCTTATTCGGATTCCTGGCTCAAGCATTTTCTATCATTATACCTTGAGCAAGTTATTTCATCTGTGAAATAACTAAGTATCTGGATCGATAATATGGGAATAGTTTTAGAGGCAAATGCCACTTGGAGTGCTATGAAGATTAAATGAAGTAGCATGAGTAAGAATCTTCGAATACTGTCTGCTGCATAGAACATTTTCAAAGACCATTTGTTATTTTTTTGTCCAAACTCATGAGCATTGTATATGAGGTGGCCTAAAATGCTTACCACCCTTGATAGTATCAACCTTAGGCTATACCATAAAGGTCACCAACCATTTTTATGACCTTGTATGAAATTATCACCAGTATCATTATTTTCTTCAACTTTCAATTTTTGCTGCAATACTTGTTTTTGTAACTGATTTAGAAAAGTCCAAATATTTTATTTAATCTAATCATAATTTCTATCACAGCAGGTAGGGCATTTGCCTTGCACACGGCCAACCTGGTCAACCCAGGTTTGATTCCTCCGTCCCTCTTGGAGAGCCCGGCAAGCTACCAAGAGTATCTCGCCCGCATGGCAAAGCCTAGCAAGCTATCCGTGACATATTCAATATGCCAAACACAGTAAAAATAAGTCTCATAATGGAGACGTTACTGGGCTCGCTCGAGCAAATCAATGAACAATGGGAGGACAGTGCTACAGTGCTACAGATAATTTCTATCAAACATACAGCTACCAAGGAGTATTAGCTCAACATCCATGTGTGTCTATTGTAAAAAACACAATAGACTTTACCTCTTCTGTCTATTAAATATGAAGAAAAATGGTTTTAGAGATTTTAGTTTGGTTGCTTATGAATATTAAATAAGTCCCTGCAAATGAAATACTGGGACTAGGGATACATCTTGACTTTGGATATGCATTAGACAAAAATAATGACAGGAACAGTAGAACCACAGAAAAAATCATGATCCCCAGACCTAATGGAGTTGGCTTAATGTATAGAAACAATATCGAACGTCTCTGTGAGCCCTTTTCTCCAGAATCAAAGGTCACTATGTCGTGTAAAAAAGAGAAAAGGTTCAAGTTAAGTGCTCTAGCCAATGAAACATTAAACAAGTGCACCTGCATTTTCACAGCAGATAATTCCAGTGGGGATTTCACGTTGCTGTGGATACAAAGGGAGGAACAGCTCAAAGATACTTGTAAAGCAGGGAGGGATTAGAGTATCCAGGGAAATAAGTAAAAGGTATTGCATTTCATTCCATGCTTTGGGAGGACAGCTACAAAATTAG